CTTTTGTCATCTTGTGAGTATTTTTGCCCTTTTCTCTCGTGGACCAACCCCACTGACTTGTGCTTTTTTCTCTGTTTTTGTAGTGTGTTGCCTCGCCGCCTTTTGGTCTCCGGAGCCCTTGCCTCCAGCCACCACTGGGCAGCTGTTTTCTCCCTGCAGCCGTTTTTTGTATTTAGCAGCTTGCAGCCATTTTTTGTGTCAAGCGGCTTTTTGTAATAAACTGTTAAGAACTTTCACTCCGCCTGTTTTCTGCAACTTGGGTCCCGTTGGTTTTCAAGCCGGTCCATAACATTGTATATGTTTTTCAGCCTTATAGTTGTTTTTATTGTGAAACACTTTGTAAATCTGTTTTGAAAGGTGCTATATAAATAAAGCAATAATAAAAAATGCTATAATAAAAATGATAATATAATAAAGTCAGAATATTTGGATCTGATGGAATGGACTTTAAGACTGGGGTTTGAATATTTCACTCAGTGTAAACATCCTATAGCTTCAACAAAGAGCTGACAATGAACAGCCAGAGAGAAACCCATAAGATTGAAACCCAGAGTGAAACCCATAAAAACAGAATGAATAGAAAGGACTCTGAACTGCTTGCTGTGTTTATTTGATGAGCTCAATAGAAAATGGTGATTGTTGTGAGTTGTCATGGTGACAACACATGTCAGTGGGTATGTCACACTCTCTGATTTGATAACTGTCTATTTCTAAACAGAAAAATACAACCATGGAGCAAAAAGTTATTCTCTGTCACCAAACTATGACTAATGTTAGTTTATTATCTGCCTTGTTAAGTCATCGTAAAACTCTATTTCATTGTCTTTCCACTGTTCCACCAATCACCAATTTTTGTTTAGTTGAAATAAACATGTCAAAACATGCTGATCTACATGCTGTTTATTCCTGCTGCCATTCAGCTGCCCACTGAGCAGTGCTTCTCACTCACTCCTCTGAAGCATAACATTACATCATGTTTCAACAAACATGCAATGAGGTTAGCCTGCTACAACAGTTGAAATGGCAACAATATACATAGAAATGGCTGCTGCTCTGACCATACTGATATGTTAATTTGAATGGGAATGTCCATTCTACTCTCATTCTATTTCTATGGAAGAACCATAAAACTAGTTAAGGGGAGATACAAGAGGAAAACTGGCTTTTAAGGGGATAAACATAGGCTTTGACTGATCACATAAATAACATAATTTACTATCATCTGTACTTGTGACTCAAATGTTTTACTTTGAAAGGAGAGCATTTTGTTATCTCCAGAGAGATGCTCTGTGTCAAGCAGAGGTCACTTCGCGTTCTCTGATGATGGTCCGACATACTGAGTGAAAAAAACTCTAAACACTCTACCCATTTTAAACATGGCAGTGAAGGAGCATGAGAAAATAATCATGACGGCTCAGAGACTACACATTTATAAGAGAAGGTGTGACTTTTAAAGACAACACCAGCTGGACACCTCCAACAAAGGGAAGGAAAGTGAGAAGGACAAAAATTAAGAAGGAATCAATGAAGGAAAGGGCTGAGTGACTGACCGAGGCGACAAACAGGTCTCCAATCCTCTCGCTGTGATCCCACTCAGCAATACGGGATGCCAGGGCGATCTGGAACATTGAGTGGCACTGATGGATCTCCTGCAGACGGTAAAAGATTTGACGCACCTTCTTGGGGTTTAGGGTCAAGTTCTGTGGCTCCAGCAAAGGCATCTGGTACTCCTAAGAGACAAAGAAAGGTCAGCTAGCATACTGAAGATCTATGGTTATGTTTCTTTCAGCCTCCACCAGTATTACACGACATACACAGTAGAGCTGCACAATACATAAATACATACTGGGTAGATGATTTTGTTGCTCTCTAAACTCAGCTCAAGATATGACATTTGCAGAATGTTTTGTACACAGTCTGAATATACAGATATATATATAAACATATGTGGTTTTGTAAATCAAGGTTTCAGACCTGGGATTTTATTTAACTTTCAGACCCATTTTCAACATACAGGAATATAACCATATTTAGAACTATAGAACAAATACCAGTTCAACACTACAATCTGTCAAAAAACACTAATTTTATTGGGGACCCACTCTAATCACCTCCTATGGGTCCAAACCTATCAACATTACGGCATATTATTTTAATTCAGTCTGCATAGGCTATTCATTGTCTGAGGTCTATGTTAGCAGCACGGACCTAAAGCAGAAAGACATTAATACTGTATGTTTCAATATTAATAAATCAACTGCCCACGCCTATGGCCCCCTCCTCCCCCACCACCACTCTCAGGGATGTCAACAGGCTCTTTAAGAGGCAGAACCCCCGCAAAGCAGCCAGACCAGACTCTGTCTCTCCGGCCACCTTGAAGCACTGCGCCGACCTGCTGTCTCCGGTGTTCACCTACATCTTCAACACCTCACTGGAGACATACCATGTGCCAGCCTGCTTCAAGGCTTCCACCATCATTCCCCAAAAAGCCAAGGACCACAGGACTTAATGACTACAGACCCATCGGCCTGACCTCTGTGGTAATGAAGTCCATTGAGCATCTTGTGCTGTCACACCTCAAGGCCATCACCGACCCTCTCCTGGACCCCCTGCAGTTCACCTACAGAGCCAACAGGTCTGTAGATGACGCTGTCAACATGGCTCTCCACTTCACCTCCAGCATCTGGACTCCCCAGGAACCTATGCCAGGATCCTGCTTGTGGACTTCAGCTCTGCCTTCAATACAATCATCCCGGCTCTGCTACAGGACAAGCTTTCCCAGCTGAGTGTGCCCGACTCCACTTGCAGGTGGATCACTGAATTCCTGTCCGACAGGAGGCAGCACGTGAAGCTGGGGAGACATGTTTCTGACACCCGGACTATCAACACTGGATCCCCCCCAAGGCTGTGTTCTTTCTCCTCTGCTCTTCTGCCTGTACACCAACAGCTACACCTCCAGTCATCAGTCCGTCAAGCTCCTGAAGTTCGCGGACGACACCACCCTCATTGGACTCATCTCCACCTACTCTGCCCCCCATCCCCCCTGTAACCAGCACACAGTCGGACATCTCTTCATCATCTTGGTCATTCACCTGTTATACACTGCATACAGTTAAACTTGCACAGCTGTACTTTTTACAACTGTTATTTGCACACTTGTGCACCCTATTCATATTTACAGTGTACATATTTTTGATATTACTATTATTATTGTTATTTGCACTCAGAATTTATTTTTATCTTATTATTATATCATATTTTATTTTATATTCTTTGTTACACCAAGCCAAATTCCTTGTATGTGAAATTTGGCAATAAAACCGATTCTGATTCTGATTCTGATTCTGATATCGTCATCACAATATTCAACAATGTTATCACATATTGCATGTTTTCTTGATATCATGCAGCCCCAGTACACAGCATTTTTTTGAGAGAACACATTGTGTACTTTGCAAATAATTAGCTAAATACTAAGTTATAATCTCATTATTATCATAAATCACACAATGAGGAACCACAGAACATCTCCATCATCAATGATGGTTGTGCTGTTATGTTCACTGGCTCAAGATCTTTTCCACAGAAGAGGTGAAGAACGGACTCTTTAGGGAGAGTGAACAGACCAGAAATGACTGGAATCACAATCCTTTGAATATGTTCCATTCTATTCCTCTTATCTCCAATAGAAACAAAGCCTTTGCACACGGATATGTTGTGGTAGCCCTGATACCTGAGGAGACATGTGGCTCACCTGGAGGATTCTCTTGAGTGACTCCAGGTAGCTGCTTTCACTCTGAACGATGGAGCTGAGGATGAGACGCCGGACAACCTGGGAGAGGCAGAGAGAAACTGAGATGAACCAAAGCTGGCTTTCTAAGGTTATGTGGTCATTTGGATACACAGGCATTTGCACCTGGGCAATGAACAAGCATTAGTGTACAAACACTCGCATCCAAAACATACCTGCTGACTGCTGAGGCCCTCTGGCATGGGACACAGTTGGAGTGGAGGGTGCTTTAACTCACACACAGACACATCCATATAACCTGCATCATCCTGTCCATCACCTGCGAAGTCAAACACAACCACTTAATACACACAGAAACCAAAATAAAAACATGAATCTGTTTTGGTAGCATTGTTACAGATATTTACAGGACAATCATAGCTTTAATTGTGACTCAAGTTTTACTTGTTTCCATTCCTGTAAAGCTGTGGTGCAGTCATTGACAAACTCGAACAGTAAATACATTTGTCGTAACATCTCACTCCAGTGAAGTAAATACTGTTAAGCATCTTTGTCATTGCAAGCATTTACCAAATTGGTATTTTTCTTTGCATTGAAAACTTTTTCCAGTGTCTGTGTGTTTCAGTTCATTCTTGTATCTGTCTCTTGATATGCTGTTTTCGTGCCTGTAAATTATTGTACCCATGATTACATCTAGGGGGTTGTTTATTTGTGAATTGGAAGTGCAGCTCTGCACCACGGAAAATCACTCACTATCTGCTGTAGTTAGCCAGTCCCCTATAGCTGGCACAGAGCCACATAGTGTCGCTTCTACTAGCCATCCTCTGGCAACCCCTTTACAGCCAGGAGGCTGGGCGACTGTCTGAGAGAAGCGTAGTGCCAAGCTTAAGCCCATGGTTCACCACCAACCCGTTCACATTTCTAACCATTTTTCATTTGGATGGAGCTGCTCTCATTTCTAGAAACCTGACTGACTTTATTAGTAGTTCAAAACCATGACAACCCAGAGTTGAGACTAGGAAACAGAGTCACAGTCTTACAAGACTCTCTGGGCTTCCTCCACTGTAGTTACGCACCCATAATGTTATAAAAAAAGGTGTCTGTCCCCACCTAAACCACCTAAATGATTTAAATCTAAAGTTAACAAAAAGTAGGAGTTGTGTTGTGGTTTGAGAGATGTCATCTCTGTGTGCTGTGGGGAGGTGTGTATTGTGTTCCTTTTATTTTGGCAGAGGCTGGGTGGGGATCTTCAGGTGATTTGGGAGCTGACTGCCTCGCAGCTGGAGCTCATGTCTAATCAAGGACTGCTCTTAAGCAGTGAGCTGCAGAGGACCAGTGGCGGTTCTGGGGAGGGGCCAGCAGGGGCCAGTGCCCCTGTAACATTGAACCTGGACCCCCCTGTGGCCCCCCCACTCAGAATAAAAATTGATACAATAATGAAAATTGCATGTCCCGCCGATGCAAAAAAAAAAAAAATGTGTGTGGCATCTTTGTCCAGTCGGATCCTTTAGTGCGCTGCACCATAGCCAGACTGGCTTACAACGTGGATGACAACTTTTGAGCATGATGAAATATACCACTCGTGAAGAGACAGAAGAGTCAGTTACCAAGGAGATTAAAGGTAAGCGAAGCCGTTTTATACCTCTGACAGAAATGTTGTTAACTTATGTTACTAGCAGCAGCCAGCAGCCAGATGTAAGCACAAGGCTAACTGTTAGCTGCTAAAGTTATCACGACACAAGAAAGCCAGCAACAGTTCAGTTGCCTGTTATATTTAATGTTATTTGCATTCTGAGTTGCTGACGTGTGGCGTATTCCTCTCCTTTGTTTAATAGTTCAAAATGAAGAGAAAAAAGCCAAAGGACATAACATCCTATTTCTGCCCATCAAAGAAAATCGTCAATGACGAGGCAGCTCATATTGAGACAGAGCCAGATGATTCTGGTGAGATAGCTGAAGAGAGGCGACAGGTGGTGGTTGAGGGCACCATAGAAAGAGAGACAGACACAGTGAACATTGAAGAAAGTGGTTTGTAAAGTGAGGGCACAGAGGAGGACAGAGAAACAAACGAAGATCCTGAGAGTGAAGAGGGGGACATACAAGCACAGAGTGAGACAGAGACAGAGGATCCATGTGCATCAACAAGCACTGGACCATCAGGTGTGTGTGTGTGTGTGTGTGTGTGTGTGTGTGTGTGCAGTTAAATGAATGTTCAGAACAGTTGCACAAGATAGAAGGGAAACATTAAATTCATGTGTGCATTAATATAACTATATAAAATATTATTTTTCTTGCATCTGTTTGAGCTTGTGTGTGTGTGTGTGTGTGTGTGTGTGCATGTTAAGCAGTATATTGCAGTTTCTATGATGTGTTCATGTAGAATAAATGTTATTTACATATAGTCATAGTTTGTACTTCTCCACAGATATCAGCAGATGTAGAGAGGACCCACCAATGCAGCCGAAATTAACGGGGGGACAGGAGGAGGAGCTTTAAGGCGGCCTGGTACCACATCCACCCGCAACATTTTTGTTAACATATTCAACTGGAGTATTGTGACTGTATGCCGGAACTTCATATTCTACCTCATGATTTAAACTAAAGATTTTGAATGCTCAAATGCCTGTCTTTGTCTCTTTTACCTCGGATTGAATGTGCCTCTTTGACAAAACTCTTGGCCCCAGGCTGGCCCCTCCAGTAAAATAGGTCTAGAATCGCCACTGCAGAGGACCCATCGCCAGATTGTCTCCACTGCTCTGTGGTAGTGTTGGCCGCTACTTCTATGTGGATTTTGCATTTAGCGAGAGCTTCTAGTGATTTTGGATTCTCAAGTTTTCTCCACGTACTGATTGACGTTTTTGCTTTTGTGTGCCCCAGGTCCAGCTTGCTATCGTTCCGTGCTCCAGCGCCTAGCCACCAAGCTGCCTAGCCACCAAGCCGCCCAGCCTCGAGCCATCCCCAGCCACCAGACACCAGGTCACGAGCCTCCCTGCCTCCGTTCTCCGGAGCCCCTCTCCACACGCTTCCCCCCTCTGTTTCAAGCTCCTGGATTCCTGTGTATGCCTGCGCCTCTATTCCCCTTCCTACACCACCAGCCTGCCTCGCCACCCGCCTTCTCCCCAACTCATCCAACAGACGCCGACACCCCTCTGTCCCTTGCCCCGTGCCACATCACTCAGCCCCTTGGACTGCTGCTCACCTCCCTCTCCCTGATTATCCCTTCAGTAAATCGCTTTTCATTATGTTTAAACTGTCTCTGTGTCTGCTTTTGGGTCCAATTTACCACCAAACATCACAAGTTGTACATAAAAAACTAATAAAAATGAACACCTCTTTTGTAGGAGACAGGAAAGTTAAATGTGGACCTTTAAACATCAGATTTTTGTTATTTATAGCAGTGTTAGCTATCTTTTTTTTTTTTTTTTCAAACCTGTCTGCATTGGTCTTCGTAGCTTAGCGCCACAAAAGGGTGTAAGCTTCTTATGAAGATTGATGCACTGTTAATCTTGCAGTCAAGTATTTTATACACATACTGAGCGTGGTTGTGACCGTCACCCACCCTCCCTGGAGACTAGCCTATCAGCCTTTATTGGAAAAACTTCCTAATATGAGCCAGAGAGGGCCGTGATACACCAAAGTGTGTCAGGGGGAAAGTAAGGAACAAGCAGGGGGGATTGAGGGGGCAGGTGCTTAAGTCCTGAGTTATATAGCGACAGTGCATGCGGAGAAGAAGGAGAAAACAAACAAACAAGCAAACAAACAAACATACAAACAAAACAAAACAAAAAAAAAAACAGAGGAGAAACAGGCAGTGAAGCTGATATATTGTGGCCTTGAGGTTGTTGTGCTCCATACAGATTACAAAAAATAAACAAATAAATGTATAATAAAGAGAAAAAAAAAAAGAGAAGTCTATACTGAACACCAGAAATGTGAGAGTCCTGGTGGAGGAGGAAAGCCCGATTGTGGAGAAGAGTTGCCAGTGCGGTGTGGTAGGTTTGAGAAGCAACTGAGCCCCTTTTAAGTGATCCCATCGGTTCTTTGCGATGCGTCACGGGGCTGAAGTATCAAACATGCATGCGTGTATTTGAACCCTCCCAATGTGTTTGTGAAAACCATCACCAGGGACCAGGGCCAGCCCTGCGGGAGAAGGCGGACGGCGAGGCACCCCAAGGCCGCAGGAGCGCCCAGACCCCACACCCAGGGAGCCGCAGGACACCACGCAGGCCCTAAGACCCGGGGCGGCAATGGCCAGCACCCCCAGAGAGCCAGAGACACACCCCAGATGGGCCCCCCCATCTGCCACCAGGACGCACGGATGACGGGCCCCACCCAGCCCCCCGGACCCCGGCGCGCAGGAGCACAGGCCAACCCGCAACCCCACCAGTACCCCCCCAGACCGCCCCAGACCCAAAGCTGGACCCCCAGCCCGTCCGACCCATCCCCCAACGCCGGCTGCACACCAACGGGTAGGCCCACCCTGCGCGGCAGCAGAACACCCCCCCGAGGAGCGAGGGGCGCGGGGAGGAGGAGCCCCCCCACCCTGCACCACCAGGGACGGAAACAGCCCCCCAGGGCGGACCGGCCATACCGCCCCAGGCCCAGGGAACACAAGGAGACCCCGCCACCCCCAGGCACACAGGGCGAGGAGTCCAGACGCACCTGTCCCCCAGGGGAAACCGCCCGGATTCAAGGGAGAGAGGGTGCACTTAACACATGCTTAAGGCCTTGAGTCCTGATGAACCGCTGTGGTATATTGTGGTGAGAGAGATAGAGGGATTAGGGGTTACATCATTAACAGAAACAAGTTACATATTACACAACAGTCTTTCTTGAGTTGAAATATTTATATGTACAGGTGGCATATGCTCACAGGCTGAGTGGCACTATACAGACAGGTTTAGTGAGTGGATAAATGGTGACCATTTTTCTGTAAAGTATGTTAATTGGTTTCTGTGGCCAGCAGATATTTTCTCCAGCGAAATATGTTCTGAAAGGAGATTCAGCCAGTGGTTGAGGGTCTGTTTATCTTTCCAATTGACTAGGATTGTTTTCTTGGCGATGGCGAGAGCTACAAGAAGAGAATTGCAGTGGCTGTTTGGGAGGTCAATTGTCATCAGGTCACCAATTAAGCACAGGTTGGGAGATAATGGGATCCTGCAGTCCAAAATGGAGGAGAGTTTTTGAGTGACTGTTGACCAGAAGTGCTGGACGGGTGAACATAACCAGAGTGCATGAAAGTAGGTGTCTGCAGTGTTCTGAGTACACTGAGTGCATATGTCAGATTGACTAAAGCCCATTCTATTCATCTTTTGTTGGGTGATGTGTGTTCTGTGGAGTACTTTAAATTGGAT